ACACACACACACACACACACACACACACACACACACACACACACACAAATATACATACGCGCGCGCGCATACACAGAAAGCCTCGATGTTATTTACATATTATTTACACCTTTTTTAGAGATATTCTGGTTAATATCTAGTCAGAGTTCTAATATCAAGTAGAATGCCTTGATTAGAATGGGGAAAGAGGCTAATTGTTTCAAGTAATTGTTTATTTAAGAAATGTGTTTATATATGTATATATGTATATATATATATAAGTTAATTATTGTAATGTATTTAAGTAAAATTAATTTGTTAATAACAAATTTAAATAAAAATTGAATCAAAGTAACAAATCTTATTTAAATATTCAAAATAGAAACATGCATATACATAAATTCATACACAATTACACATACATATACATATTAAAATAACTCACTTCTTTTGATCAAAAAGTAAGTAAATCGTCACAGTATAGGTAAGAACAGTAGGTACATTTCGTGTCAGTGCCTTTTTGATCTTGGCGGCAAATCATCCGCTATGTTGCTGATTGCGCGAAGCTTCATGCACAATGAAAAACACAGGCAACAGGAACAGAATAATATTCCCGATAATCGCCATGTTATTAGTTGCGCAAATCGCCATAGTCATTTCCAACTTCTTGACGGAATGTACCTACTGTTCCGACTGTTCGATACAACAGTATAAGTTAAGTAAGAATACTTAACTTATACTGTTGTATCGTGCGCTCATTCCTTTGCTTATTTTGTTTTAATCATTCTCATGCGGTGCTATAAACTGGCTTTATTTTGGCTGAGACGAAAATTTTAGTTTCTAGAATTTGTGATACTAACATTATATGATGTACAAATTTCTCCTTCGATTGTCGTTCTTTTTTTTATCATAATCCAACTTGAAATAAAACTTTTATTAACCCATTGGCTGTGTAAGAGAATTTTACTATTTGGGCCAAAAGTGTGTTGAAAAAAAAGTTTATCGGATTATTATGAAACTTGATACCCTTATGTTTTTTGGGTCTCTGAATCCGAATATAGTCAGATTTACAAAATTCAAAATGGCGGGTCTAATATGGCGGATCAAAATTACAAAAAATAGACGGAATTTTATTATTATTATTTTGAATTTTGAAAATCTGACTTCATATTCGGATTTAGAGACCCAAAAAACATAAGGGTACCAAATTTCATGAAAATCAGACCTTTTTTGGTAATTTTGATCCGCCATATTGGATCCGCCATTTTGAATTTTGTACATCTGACTTCGGATTTGTAATCAGCGACCCCAGAAACCCCCGAGTAACAAGTTTCAAGCAAATTCAGAAAGTTTTACTTTGTTTTTTCTAAGTTGCAGCTGTAGCCGTCATACACACTCTTGGCCACTTTTGTTTTTGCGGCTATAGCCGTCATACACAGTCAACGGGTTAATAATCAGAACATAAAAAGAAAAGAAACGCAAATGATTCTTTCTCTTATTTGCATCTTAAATATTAATATCGTAATAGCATTATTTTCTCATTCGTTTGCAAAAATTGATGAATCAGAAAAGATTTTTTAATGTATCGAACTCTATTCATTTCGTTATTATAATTAATGTTATAATATTTAATGATAAAGAGCAATAATTCCTAATGAGTACGTCAATCAAACAAGCGTCTTTATCATCCAAGTTAATATTCGAGTACAAATTCAAAATTCAATCGTTCAAGAGAATCACTGAAGCATTTCTCATATCACTTCTTGAGATCGAATTCGAGTCACTTAATTTGTATTAATTATATGTATATCTATTACATGTCTGATGCATATCTGTTATAATTAGGAAAGAAGAGTGGGTAACCTGAAACACAAAAGAATTAAACGAAAAGAAAAAGAAAGGAAAAGTGAATAAGAGCCGGAAGGGGAATGGTAAGCAAGAATACCAGAATAAGACAAAGTGTTTGTCATATAAATATTAAGGATAAAAGAGCGAAGAAGAACCTTTGTAGGCTCATTTCCCGGCATTGGATGTCGGACTGACGCGTCGACCGCGACGCAGAAGAATAGAAGGTGCAAGCATTTCGGTATGCGCGAAAAAGTGATATACGCTGACATCTCCGAGGAAGAGTTAAACATTAAGAAGGGGCGAGAGAAAAAGAGAAGATTTATTTCCATCATAGGGTAAATATTTAAATATACTAAGAAACGTGTATGAAAGACTTGCATAAAATAATAGTCGTTACTGAACAACAATATTAAAAATAAAACAAAGCTAGGGAGAGCTAATACACACAAAAAAAAGAAATATTCTAAGAGATATGCCATCAGTATCATATGATAAATAAATTGATATTTGAACATGTAACTTTCTATCGTCTCTATTAGATTAGAAGTTATTAAACAAGTAATATATATTGTATTACGTTTTGTTAACAGCTTGCAAGCCAGGAAGCGCGATGGCGTAATGCAAATAGTTCCTCGAAAACTCGAATCCGACCATCAATATTACACAAGCGAAGTGGCCAAATAATCAAAATAAAAAAAGTAGCCACTTCAATTTTGGGGAATTTCTACTGCACATTTGTTAAGATTGATTTAAAAATTTGGCAGGTTTTTTACCTGCGGTTAAGAGACTGCGACTCTGTCTCAATGACCATGTTTTATTAAAAATTTCGAGGATATGTAAAACTTTGAGAGGTAATTAAATAAATATGAATCGTCATGATTACAGGTAAATTAGATATGACTAATATATATATGTACGTATAATATTAATTTTTAGTATTGGACATCGCTGAAGTTCGAGGTGCAACTATTGCCACGTGTATTTTAGCTGACTTTCCATCAGGCCGGATAGATACTATACTTTTGTACAGATACTACAGTATCTGGAACTATTTGGTACTATAAACTAAAGAAGAAGTATCCAAGAAGTTCAACGCAGGACATCTCTAAGGTATTATTTATTATTATTCATTTCAACAATTTATATAGTATTGATATAGAGAAAAATATAATTTTTGTTATTTAAAAATCAATAATTCATTTTAGTGTTTATAACGTCGAAGAGTCGTTCTCTAATAGAGAATCTCTATATTGTCAAAAAATATGTGTATTTTTTGACAATTCCTTATATTCAATTTGTGGCATTTCAACATACTTTTCTTAAAAGTGTGATTAAGCATAATCATCATTCATACATCGTATGAATACAATTTGAAATATCTCTACCTGGCGTAATCGATTTGGCATCTGTGGAGAACAAATTAGGTAAGTTATCCCATTTGCTTTAGCACATTCATTGCCCTATGTATATTTTAGCTGACTTTCTGTTTATGTGAGATAGATAATTTTATATTGAATAAGACAGTAGAAAATGCTAATATACGGGGTGATAGCTTGGAAAGTTCGGGAATCAAACCGGGATCTTTTGCTCGACAAACAACTAGTCTAGCACTGAGCTATTTAGTACTCTTTTCTCTATACGACATTAATAGAAAACTTTAAACTTAATAAAAAAAGAATGATCTAATTATTCAACGTTCTGACGTAGATGTCAATTAATTTCTTTATATAAGTTATACCTGATATAAATTTTTTGTGGTAAAAGGTTTCTAAATTCAGAATATCATATCGGTTGAAATATCATATCTGTATTATATAAAATACGGATCGAATTGGATTAAATATTAAATTAAATTGTTTTATTATTAAAAACGCATTTTTATCTTCTGCATCGGCTTGTAATTTTTTACATCAAATTATTGATTTCATAATCTTCAAGCCTTCAATACGTTTACGAGTTACGTTTATTAATTTACTTATGTATCTTTAAACGTATTTTATTTCTCTTTATACGAAATTGTTACATTCATTTTATAGATCTGTACGAACATTGTTGTAGATTATTGAATATTTTATTGGAATTTTATAATATAATGGAGATACACAACTGAGATTTTTATTCAACTTTATCATGTATCTGTTTTATTTAATAAATTGCAAGTCACAATAACATAGAATATTCTTGAGTATATTAAATTGATTTTTTAAATTGTTACTACGAACTCAAACGAACATAATACTAAATGGGTGACTGTTTTTATTGGAATTTTCGTGGCTTTTATAATTTCGGCATAAACAACGTGTAAAGGCTGCTAACGAAAGGTTAACGAAAAAATAAATGTAAAAATATTTTACATCGGACGATTGCGCACGCTAAGGTCGATTGAACAACTCCATTAACAGCGAGTTTTACACTGTCAAGATAATACCTAATTTGTTCATTACGAATGTGGCGCATTAAAATTTAAATTTTAATCGTCTCCAATGAGTCCCGTATTAAAAATGTAACGCATAATGCGTCCGTTACGAATTACATATTTAAATTTTCATGGACAATTGGCCAGTCAGTAACCATTAAAAATGTAATCTTTGATTCCCGGGAACTGCATAAAAGTTTTACCAATCTATGTACATAAATTATTGATAGCATCATACGCGCAAAATTAACGTATTTAATTATAATAAACCAGTCTACTTAATCGCTGTCTTGAATATATTTTCCGGCATTAACACATTTCTAAAGAACGATTTATGTTTACGTATTTATTATAATTAAGCAAAAAAGAAGATTTGATACAATCTAATTACATACAAACAATAAATATAAAATTATATAAAAATGATAAGAAAAAAAACAATACAAAGTAAATATATTTAACCATTCACCACGAAAATTCTAGTGATATTTTAGCCATACATGGTATGTTAAGAAAATGAAATAAAAAAGTTTTTTAATGCTTGAAATTTTAAATAATAACTGAGTTAAATATTAATATTAATTTGAAAATGTAAGACGTTTAAGTTTTGAAGAAAAACTGTATTTGAAACAAGTAGTTATTATCGTAAGAGTAATTATCGATGATTCGATTCGACATCGCAGATATATTTTCGACTCGTACACTAGATATAGATAACGACCTGTCGAAGACAGAAGAATGTCGATCGACGAGTGTCCTACTTATTTACTTTGTATTGTAGGCATACATAGTCGCTATTTGTTTCCTTGTAGGTAACACGGGATTGCCTCACTTTCAGAAACAGTAGAGGACGCCGGACGCCAACCGCGAGCCATCAAAATAAGCAATAGCGTCAGTAGCGTAACTTCGCGAAATACATACGGCAGCCCTATCATCTTGTGTTCTCGGTGTCGTCGACGTTTTTACCACGCGCTTCCAGGTGCCACTTCTATCATGACCCAAGTACTATGAAATTCTTCAACGTGGTGCACGCGAAGTTTCCCTTATATCTACTTTTATTTGGGCGCTCAGTTTTCATTTGTTGGCTCGCACTTCTGACGACGGCCGTCGCGTTAAGAGATATCCGTGACGATCTTTACCGAAGCATCAACATCGAACAATTGCAGTACGAGGTCGGGCGCCGTGACTCGAGTTACTCGAGTAATTACGCTCAGTCGGCTCAGTGTAAATTCGGGTGCGATTGAGTCGGGAGGAACGAGAGCGGGAGATTTCGAGAAACAGAGAAAGCGGAAGCGCGCGAGTGCGAACTAAAGAGAACCGGTGAACGTGAAGTGGTGGCCCGAGGGTGGAGTGAAGCACGAGGAGCGGTGAGCACGATAGCACCGCGGGTCGTGAGTCTCAAGGGGACGGACGCCATGGCGGCTTCTTCGTCCTCGTCGACTGGCGGAGAGCAGCAATACTCTCTCAGATGGAACGACTTTCAGGCGAGCATCCTCAGCTCCGTACGTCAGCTGAGAGATGTGGAAGACTTTGTCGACGTCACGCTCGCCTGCGACAGCTGCAGCTTTACCGCGCACAAGATCGTTCTTTCGGCATGCAGTCCCTACTTCCGAAACCTGCTCAAGGTCAGTGCGTTTTTCATCTCTTTTTAATCTTTCTTATAATTAAGCTACGAATTCAAAGCTACTGACGGAGTGCTTTAGTCGAGATCAAAGTTATTCTAATATCTAATGATTATATTTCGTAACTTCAAATTCGTGATTTATTTGTTATTTATATCGTTCCGACATAATTATTAATATTCTTTAACGTGTAATAATTGAGAGAAAGAGAGCACAATTGATACTAAGAATATTGTGCGTGCGTTTTCTATAATAATTAATAAATCTTGATGCATTAGAAAAATGAGAAAAACAATTTCAAGTGTGTGATTTTACTTTCCATTAATATTACGGTCACATAATTAAATGAAATACAAGTAAATTACGACCTAGAATTATAGGAATATCATTTTTAGCTTAGCTAAAGGTTAATATTTCAACTTTAACACAAATTTGTAAAACCTGTCGGATTTCGCAGCGATGCATTATTAAGTCACAGAGTCAAGGAATGTAATTTAGCGGTCACTGCATGTGCGAGCGATGTGTAACTCGATCGTAAAGTAGAAAAGTCGAGTCAGGGTCGCGTATGACACAATGTGTGTGGAAATGCTAACACTGCGATGGTGTAACAAAATTATACATGATCGTAAAATGCACTACTTATTACTCTCTCCTTATTTACGGAAACTGATATCTTTCAGAGCACCTATGTTATAATATTTGTTTCATAAAACTTGAATTTAATAGCTATGGATGATGGACGATGGGCGAACGAGCATATCGTTCTAGTACGAGATAATATACAAACAATCTTATTCAATTCTATTTAATATTTATTTTTATTTTTCTAAATTATATCATCCGCTGTAACGTTTTAAGATAATATCTATATTAAAATGCAGATGTCAAGTCTTAAATGATATTTAACACGATATTTATTGATGACTATGAATGCGTCATACAGAGTCGAATTTGGAGCCGAATCATTAATTTTAGCTGCTCCAGTAATAATTTCTACCTCCAGATCTGCCGCTAATCTTAGATCATTAATGGGTGTAGTCAGTGACGCTGGTGAGTTTTAACTTGGCGTTTCAACTTTCTATAATAAGATTTCTCACTCAATAAGACCGAAAATGTATAAACAAATTGCTACTTATAAAAAACCAATATTGAAAATGATAAGTCAGAATTACTTACAAGACGAAAGAAATTACGTTTCTAATATTGAATATTTTGTATCGTGCCATATATATCTTGTTCAATATTTGTTCTTTATTCAAAACGTTTTACAAATTTTGCCTAGCGTTATGTATTTTAAATGTATTTTAAATGTATTTTAAAAAATTATAAGAGAAGATAAAGTTTTCTTTTTCTTAGAGAATGATAAAAATAACGTAAGAGTTTATTCACATACGGATTATCACGCGTGCCTTAATTTTATTTCAATTTGTAGTTAAGATGAAGATGTATATTCTTTGAATGCCATACCATCGTCATTTTTTCTGTAACCGGTTAACAGGTCCGCATGCTTTGCGTAAATAAATGATAAGGAACGATCTTTCCATATTATGATTTGAACGAGGGTCCGTGGAGTTTTATGCCGTTCCGGTGGGTGGGTTAAATTTAAATTGCCAAGAGGGAATAAAAGAAAATCCAAAGAAAGAAAGTAGGCATTTCTTAGCGAGGAAGGGTAGATAAAAGGTAGATACCACACGCCGCGAAGAATTTGTAAGTCGCGGTTTCCTCTCTATCTCGATATCTCGGTTGAGAAAAATTGAGATAACACATAGTAGCAAACTCGTAACATTTCTCATCGTGTTGTGTTGCAGTACATTTGCCGGAAACGGTAAACTCAATAACATACATATTAATTTTACAGTCGTGTTATCAATGCATTTAATAACTATTATAAATAATGAATTTTGTGTTTACAACACAATATGTTGCCGGACATTCGTGAACATAAATTAATCTATTCAAACGTTTGAAATTGACGAGCTTGCATAATAATGCTGGAAAAAGAAAGTTTAAAAGACATAAATATAAGTCTTCTTATATAAATTTCTTCTATATATAAATTTAGAAGACATAGAGACGTGTGTGTACGTATGTGTGTTGTAGTATGGAAATGCTTCTGTTGCCATTATTTTAAAAATCAATACATTATTTTCTTCACGCTTCAATTAATATTTTTCTCGAGTTTGTAACATGTATCAGCCCCGATGCTTCGTGCAAAATTCAAGTATTCGACCAAATTTTTCATATCAAAAAGGGCAATTTTTATATTTTTAACCACTCCACATTTTTCTCGAACTGTTTTAGATTGAGATAGTCCATTGCACGTTCTTATTCCTGATAGAGCGCATAAGTAGATGAAAGTAACTCTAGTGTCTTATTTCGCGCATTAGTGCAATCGCGAAATTATAATAACTCTGGTAGTAATTATATACTCTAATTGATTCGCGAACAGACACGCAGCAATCAGACCGGTTATTGCCTCATAAATCCCGGACGTTACAAATCATCGTAAAATCATCAAGAGCGATTGCATGCTGCTATATCCTCTCAGAGAGAATTGGATTTCGTAAAAATATATATAAATAACTGCAATGCGGTATTGAATTATGAAAGAAACAATAATTAATATTTATGCAATGCTAATTATTAGATTTTCCTTGACAAATCGTGACATCAAAAGGACAAAAATGAAAATAATATCACGCAGGGGAATAACGCAATTATCACAATTAAATATAATTGTCGAGATAAAACAATATTATGTGATATATAATTTGATAACTCCATGTCTCTCTGTGTGTCACGGGATTTTACGTTATAAATATCTATAAATAAATGTTATTTAAATTTCTCAAAAAGTTTCTCCTGTATCAGAGATATTTTGCACAAATCTGTCGCGATGCGTTCTATGCATCAATTCGAAATCTTATCAAAGCGATTCATCCCACTGAATTGTCGAGGTAAGACCGTATCCTTGTGTGATAAAGCTCACAAAGGACTTCCGGTTCGATTTGCATAATAACGTGATGTTCGAGTCATCGCTCGACGAAGATCCTCCCCTTTCGCGAGACACAATCGATCACTTCGACATATCGTCGCGCTGTCGTCAACAGTTCGCTCCTATCGGTGGTATCTCTCCGAGAACCTGTTTCCTCCGCATGCACTTCGCTTTTGATCGGTCCTCATCACTGCCTTCTCATCGCAGCGTTCTATAGAACGTGTTCCCATATAGATAGACTTTCTTTAATTGAGCGGTCCAACTTGGCATGAAAATAAAAGTCTAACAGGAAGCTTGACAAATAAACCTATTTTGTTATCGCATTAATGGTTTTTTTTATAAGTATTTAAAAAAAAATTGTGAATCCCCGATTTGGTTTTACTTTTAGAATTATCACAGTTTTCAGATAACGAAGTTTGAATAGATAATCTGCTGGCGTTTATTCAATGTACTGATCAACTACGGGTAATATTATCGAATAATCAGTCAATCGGCATTCCGAGGAATTCGTACGTCATACAGTATTAGGTGCAGAAAATACTAACAATATTATTGCCTCTTCTAAAACGATGGCATTTAATATGCCATGTCGGATTTCGTCATTCTCGAGTATTATTCTGCGTCGAAACAACTCGGTTGTCGTCCAAAGAATGACTCGGACTTGGAATGAAGCGGCCGACTTTCTAATTGACGCGTACCACTAATTGATTTTAAGTGTCGGGCAGTACTCGAGGCGAGTTAATAAAGCTTACACGTTGGCCAAGCTGTGCTTACGTCACGGCCGGCTACGTGGACACACGACACGATGGCGCAGGATTTTATGCCGTATCGCTTGAACCTCCGGACACAATTACATTAAGGCCGACCGGCTACGTTGTAACGATGGGTTGAAAGGAGAGAGAAAGACAGAGGGGGAGGGGAGGGAAGGAGGGAGAGAGAGAGGGATAACTCATCGGTATTAACAGTCTTCTTACAACGAAGCAGCAACAGGAGTTACCATTATGCCGGCATTAATAGCAGACGCTCTACCGTATTACTCGCTTTTTGTTTGCCCACTTGCGCGATGACGTAGGATTCCGTATTGGTTTCGACGATCGCCTACTTATTGTTAGCGTATAAACAGCGCCGTGTATAACGCTTATGGCCGATATGGCCTCGAACGCCGGCGTAATCAACGCTAGCAGCTATAATAAAGAGGCGCTTTCGCGTGTATGCGAGAAATTTGGGGGAATGTCGTGACTAACGATAAAAATAAAAATATGAGGAGATGTGTTCCCGCGGCGAACCCGTGCTCTCTCTGAATCTCCTCAGTGGAATCTTCTCGCGATAACAAACTATTGCGTAACAACGGGGAACGAGCGTTATTCCCGGGGGCTGTTTTTCCGGGAATATTTATCCGCTATGCTGGACACTTTATTGTATCATTTTCATTTTATTTCCCGTATTAATTATCATGTAGTCATTCGCTCGGCAAATAACACGGACCGATAAGCTCTCACACTCGTTCGCTCGCTCGCGGGAGACCGTGTCCTTCCGAAAATATTTTCCGATTTGATTTAGCGCGATGCACGTGTGCGATGCGATGCGCAATGATAACGAAACCGCCCGAAAGCTCTGATAGAGGCGCACCTGAAACGATGGATGATTTATGCGTCGATGCATCGTCGCGCGTCGATTTACGGCAAACTCGTTCATTTGACTATCGGCCAGAAGTCCATGACGAATCGTCCGGTTATCGAACCGTACCCGCAATGATATTTGCCAAAATACGAATAGCGCGCGTGTATATAGCTAACTCTCTCTCTCTCTCTCTCTCTCTCTTTCTGACGATAACAAATGCTTCCCGCCATACGTCGTTTCGCTCGTAAGCGTCATCCTGCAAATCGCAACAGCGGGATCGATCGTGTCCGATAGGATGTTCTCTACTCGGTGTCGATTTATTTTCGTGAAATAAATTCGTCGACGGGGATAAATCTTTGCGAAGGGTCGCGAGATGCAAACGCGATGT